TTGCTCACTGGGCGGCGGATCACGGACTGATCTCGAGAGGACCGGGACGGGCTCGGGGGCCGAGGTCGAGGCCCGAATGACGAGACGTGGCACCGCGAGGACGACGGCTCATCAGTTTAAAATGTCTCTGAGACGCAAGTCTGTGTGACAGCGAACTTAAAACATACAACGCAAACTGTAAAATATGCAACGTAGGGGTGAAGCTGTGTGCGTGTGCGTGTGTGTGTGTGCGTCAGTGTGCAGTTAATTGTTTGCCGTTTTCCGTTCGGGCGTTCACGCTGAAATGTCGCCCTGCGTTGCCGCAGCGCTGATAGTCGGCCGCTTGTTGTCTAGATTCACACACGTGATGCTCGTGCAGCAGGTTTCAGCAGTGGAAGCTGCATCTCTTTGAAGTCATATTGACTGATTGAGACTGACACTGAGCCAGAGGGCAGAGATGGGGTCTTAAAACTAAATCCTCAGCAGGTGATGACTTATGATGAAGATGATTTCCCCCATGAAGACGCCCACGTGACAACAGGTATCTGTGCAGGCCTGGTGATCAGCCGCGTGTCATAGCTGAACTTCTTTTTAAAGTGTAAATGGCTTCGGTTGCCATTATGAAACAAACTGAACTGTACTCCACCACGGGCCTTTTGTGTCATTTGGAATCAAGCCAAAACATTTATTGTCCTCCACATCGGGGGACGAGATGGAGACTGGAGGACTGCAACAATGCTGCACAAGACAACAATAGTTATCTGTTCCGCAGTATGCGGGATTACAGGCTGAGCCCCCCTGGGCCTTCAATGGCTGCACATACAGTTTGCATGATAATGCCCTGTAAATTAGGTTGAGCCTCTTCAAAGCTGTGCTGTTTGGGCCCATCGAAGGGAACAATGGTCACAGTGTCTCTCGCCTGCAGAGTGGTAATGCATGCTAGGACCAGGACGCTCCACCAGGGGGGACTCCCTCGCACCGTCAGCAAGGCGAGGGAGGGTGGAGGAGCTGCCAACACCAGCTCACACTACCAGGTCAAATATAGTCAAAGTGTGTTTTTCTACCGTTATAATGTGTGTGATAATCACACTGTGGAGGCTGTTGTCCTGCATTGAGGCACCAGTCCCTCCTTTTTATCTTTATGCAGACTGGTTCAAAACCATATAAACTATTTTCTTTTTTTAAATACAATTTTTTTTTATGTTATATATTATTCTATATTTCAACCAATGCGATGGGGCCTTTTGCCCAAGTTACCCGAGTATAAAATCCGGGTATTCTCTCTGTATGACTGAATAGGGGTAATGAAGCGTGCATGGAATGTGCCCTCTCCCCACTGCAGAAAACATTGGGATTTTGTCAGGTTGTTTTTGTCCAACAGCACTAGAATCCCAAGGTCTTCTGAGTGCTTGTGAGGGGCAGACGGGTAGAAACACACAGAGAATGGGAGAGTGAAAGAAAAATAAAGTGTGTGTGTGTTTATCAGACGAAAGGATTTACCAGCTCTGGAACTAATTACATTTTAGTTTGGCCGACTCACAGGGAAAACTTTCACTGACGTATGTGAGAAGTGAGTACAACACAGTTAATGTTTGGCATTTGTGCGGTGCGTCATCACGGCCTGCAGGTTTCACTGGAGGCAGCGCGGGGGGATCGGGGCTGTAACAGGGCCTTAGGTGGGGCTGATAACATGCAGCAGAGGTGCCTGCAGCGGGAGGTTGTGTTGGCTGACAGCTTACTCTATTTTAAAAATTATAATAACCAATGTCGCAGTGACCCGAATCACAATTCACATACGTCACAAATGCATTGCACCTTTGCAGATTATCTACAGCCAATTCATTTGGGGCTTAAATACCATGATAATGAAATATTTCATAATAAATGACTGCAATATCCTAGTTGGACCAATGATCTGCTGCCTCTCCCTGCTGATATACAGTGTATTGATCTTTTATTGAGATGTATTCTGCCGTTTGTTAACTACCTTTACTGATGCATATCGGAATAATAGATGTGCCACTAGTCGTAAGTCGTAATATGAACTTTCCATTTGAAAGACATATCACACTTTATACTCACCTATTGTCATTCTGCTCAATCATTGAGATGGATACTATCGGTGATATTCCGCTTGTAGACAGGGCAGAAAACGTGACTCATGTACATGTTTTATGATTTCTTTCAGCCACGGAGTGTAATTCTTGGTAAACAGTAAATCCATCAATGCGCCCCGTGACACATCCCCCTTTCCATCCATCATGTCCGCGCTGCATCCAGACTTCCGTCACTCGGAAGCGATTTTCATCCCTTGAAAATCGTTGCGGCTGCTGGACGCATGCACGGCTCTGCCGTCCTCGAGCGCCGTCGCACATTATCACTTCCTACAGTTTGCAGCTTGTTTTGTTATCTCTGCGTCGGAGGCTAAGCGAGCTTTCGCGGGCGGATTGTTCCCATTTGGTTCATTTACTTCAATAAGAATCAAACCTTTAACATCACTCGTCTTTGAAGACAAGGTCACTGATTTGGCTCCCTGTCAAGCCTATAGATTATGCAACTATGTTGGGATTCTCTCCACTGTGGCGTGCAGAGAACTAACAAAGGAGGTAGCTGGTGTCCAATGAAGCACGGCGGTAATTCTCAAAGACAGCATGTTTGTTACCAGAGAGCAGATCAGCTCATGTGGCCTTTGGTAGATTCCCCGGGTTACAGCCCACATTGATCCTTAAAACCGATGGATTATTTCACCATTTGTATTCGGACAGCAGCAAGCGTGTGTTTTTCCTCCTCTTTTAAAAATTGCATTTCAATGTAAAGCGCAGTTGAACCTGCGCGAGCAGCAGCACGTTAACAAATCACGCGACATCAGGAATTCCGTTATAACAAATGAATTCACTTGCGAACCTGATGTGGAGGAGAAGCTCTCTGATCAAACAGAACTCCCTCTGTATCAACAAACATTAATTGACTCCATCGTGGTTTAAACGCATGCATTGCTCAGGGTTTAAGGCAAGCTTTTTAATTAGCATAAGAGGGACTCGTCTGATGCGTGTGACGCCTGGAGGATCTGTAGAAACAGAATAAAGGAAAAGAACTCCAAATGACACTGAGAGTTGTATAACGATTTATGTAGCTCATTAATATTGATGTTTGTATAGTGTGCATATTTAAATTTCAATGTAAAATGAGCAAGCCCGGTGGCCATATTTACCATTGTCAATAAAACTGTATCGCATGCATAATTGTTCAATTATGCATGTGGTGCATATGAAGGTCTAATTGTATGATGAATAGAAGCCGCTGTCTTATCAATGTTGTTGACTTATTGTTCTGTCCTCCGTAATTGAAAAGTCTAAACTTGGAAGTGATGACATTGATGATTCTCATTTTTGACCCTGAACTATTTGACAAACCTTAAAGCCGGGGGATTAAAGTTTGTTATATTTTAAAAGAACAACTAACCTGCACTCAGAAAGCTGCCTGTGAGAAAGTTGCCAAGTTGGCAACACTGTTCCTCTTCCTTAAGGCCTTTTCTATTTTGGAAATATAGAGCTTTGCTTCTTCCATAAAACGTTGGCCCGCTCTCGACTACGAGTGACGACCATCTATCCTCCTCCTCTTCCACAGAAGCACGTTCCCACATCCATATGGACACCACACAATCTCCTCTCTAAATGAACCCACTGTTCCCCTCCTGTATTACAGGCTGGATGGTGTTACCCTGACGCGCAGGTGTTTGCACCATTCGTTATATTCTCACCTCAACGTGTTGAAATCCTAGTTAACGTCTGAGCACCTTCTCTTCCGTCCCCAGCAGGGGATTAGCAGCACGACGAGTCAGTCATACATTTATTTAAAAATATCTAATGGTGTGAACGTGTATGAAACATCTTACGCTCACATGGAGGGCAAACAAAGGTCTTATTTTTACGTCATGAGTAATACAGACAAGAGAGACGGTAAAGAGAGAAAGACTGATTAAGAAAAGATGTCCTTGTAAAGCCATTTTTTTTAAACTTGAGAAAAGTGTGTCTACTCCAGGGAATTACTTTTTAATTACTTTTAAGAAGAAGAGCACATTTGTGCGTAATTCTTCAGTTCAGCACATTGTCTCAAAGTCTTAATAACCTTCACTTTCTTTTTGACCTTTCAGTCGCTTGATAGTCAGCATGACTGCATGCGTTTCCCGGAAGGAGCATGAAGGAATTCAAAGACAAATGTTAGCGCATGAAACATATTAACACATGACGCACTTTAATGTGAAGGTCGCTGAACGCAGCGTTAAGTTACAAACCTTGTTCACTGACAAATACATTGAAATATATCATCTCAGTCCCACTGCCACTTCACAAATGAAGGGATCATTTCTATATCATCAAAGACATCTTGAAGTTACAGCTGCAAAGAGTGTTGACACGGCAAACTGAAACAAATGTATTTTTATAGGTTTGCATGAGGCCTTTTCCTCCTGCTGCATGTTGCATGCAGAAGATTCTTGCAACGGGGCTCTGACAAAATGTCCCATAACTATAATCATAAAGATATGATATACTAATACAGTGTATGTTTACTTACCACTATCCATAAATGGCTTATGGTAACTGTACTGAGGTTTATCAGAACAAGCAACGCTGGTCTTTGCTTTTTTTCTTGTGATAACGCTCAGCGCGTCCACTCAGTGGTCAGCTTGTACTGTTTGTTTCACCTCTTTGTTTATTCTCATGTGAGTGACAAACTGTCCAAGACTCTGGTAAGCACTATATAAAAGTTCATCAGATACGTACTGCAGTTATCTCTTTGCTGGAATGATGAACACCTCAAAGCATAGCACGTCATCTGTGCTTCCTATTTATTTATTTAATTTTTTTTAATGTATTTATTCATTATTATTAAATGAGTAAGAAGTTTGAAGCTCAAGTAGATAAACGTTTTACTTAGTTCGTTCATTGTATTTTCCAGCACTGACTATTAACAAATGGAATATTACAACTGAATTGTCGTTCTAAAATAATTCAGGGGACCATCTATTTATTTTGTATGGTCAATAACGTTGTGAATGTGACAAAATGATCATTAAACGTGCAGCTCTGCAGGGGTTTTGTAAATATTGGACTCACCTCAGCTGGTTTTCAAAGCTCTGGTAGGACGTAGATGCCGAGGCGCCGTAGCACTTTGCAGAGCAAGCAAACCTCCCAACTCCTCCCCCTTTGCAGGCGGTTTAATTCGCGTGAGGCGATGCCCTGGCTAGTAACCTAATAAAGCTGCTGGATGCAATCCGGGGGCATAATGTGTGGATCATGTTCGTCTGACAGACGCGTCCTCGGCTCTGCTTCTGCTCTCACGCTGCCTGTTGCTTTCCGGTGAGTACCACCAGGTCACACTGCCATTTCAGCTTTTAGATGTGAGCGGCGGAGCGATGTCTCTGCCGGTTCGAATGACTCAAGAGGACTTATGAATGAAAACACATCACACACGACGGGGCCAAACAAAGGGAGAACACGTTATTGCACTTGGTAAGTTTTAGCTTTCTGTCAAAGCAGAAGAGATGACTGCAGGTATTAATGTTTCCTTGCATCGTTGCCAAAGTTTAGTTTTAATTCTAAACATTTTTCTGGATCTGCAGTAACACATTTGATCTCCATGATGTTAAGAGACAAAGTCCAGTGAGTGACAGCAGTTAAGCGCTCATTTACCTCGGTATGCAATGTTTAAAGAAGGCTCTGTGTGGCATTTAGTGATGGAAAGTCACCTGCTTCAATCCCAAGTGGAGTCATAAATGTTGTGCCTGGGAGGAGCGATGCTGATAGGGTTCAGTACATTTCCAGCCACATGCAGGCACCGGGAATATATACATATATATATATATATATATATATATATGTATATAGGCTAATCATTTTGCTCATTATTCTTCTGGCCACAAGGTCCCTTTCCCGGTGTAACTGTCAGAGCATAATGGTGGCATTCAAAGGGGTCTGGACCAAGGACTTCTGGAGGGCTGTGTCTGGAGAATACCTCGCCACCCTCATCTTTGTCCTCCTCGGTCTGGGCTCCACCATCAACTGGGCCGCAGGGGAGGAGAAGCCTCCCCCAGCCGACCTCGTCCTTATCTCCCTGTGCTTTGGGCTGAGCATCGCCACCATGGTGCAGTGCTTCGGCCACATCAGCGGCGGGCACATTAACCCCGCGGTCACTGCAGCCATGGTCGTGACACGGAAGCTCAGCCTGGCAAAGGGAGTCTTCTATGTGCTGGCTCAGTGCCTGGGGGCTGTCACGGGGGCCGCGGTCCTCTACCTCGTCACACCGGCTGCTGTCAGAGGCTCCTTCGGTGTGACCGCGGTAAGAACATGAGTCGGTTTCCCTTCCGTGTAGATAAGTCGTCTTGCTGTTTGAATTTATGAGGACGTTCTTCTGTTTCCAAGGTGAACCCCAACATCTCAGTGGGACACGGCCTCCTTGTGGAGCTCCTCATCACCTTCCAACTGGTCTTCACCATCTTCGCCACCTGTGATCCCAAACGCTCGGACCTAGGAGGCTCGGCCAGCCTCTCAATCGGCTTTGCTGTAGCTATTGGTCACTTATTTGCAGTAAGTGCCGTCCAATGAGGGAGTTTAGAGATAGATATAACTATATAACTATAATACAACAAACTTAGCATCCTTCTGCAACCCTTTCCAGCTGGCAACACCTGCTCCCAATCCAAAAAACACGGATTCAAGGAATCATCTTAACATTTAATGAAATTAAACACACCACATTAAAGGATTGCGGAACAAGACAAGCTCCAAATGCGAGGCTCCCTCAGCGTGTGGATGCATCTTGAGAAAGACCAGGTGCATCGAAGCATCTTCCGTGCGCGATATTACATGCTCCTCACTGAATCACACCCACGTGTTTATTGGAGGCTGCCATCGCATAGCAACCGATCTCCCGGGGCTCCCTGAACCCTGCAGAGCCAAATGAATGCGCAGGGAATTAGACGTTATCTCTCGCACTGCTCGGCGGATTTCTCCCTGGGTCTGTTAGGCAAATGCATGCACGTAAACACTTGTGTTGGATCTGTTTTTCACTGCGGACATGTTCCGTAAGTCACACATAAAGACATCCGATGGCGTAATGTAACGACTGACTGCTGTTATGTGTCCTCCAGATCCCATACACAGGAGCCAGCATGAACCCTGCTCGGTCCTTTGCGCCTGCTATGCTCACCCTTAACTTTGAGAACCACTGGGTAAGAGAACCTTTAAACGACGGGATGCTCTTGCTTCTAAGAGTTGGCATGGCTAAAACATTAGCTATCTATTGGCTATGCTAATCTAGCAGGCCCTTTCTGCATGACATAAGTAACACTATAAGTATTTAGCCCTCTGGCACTGGTTCAAATGTTATGCCATGTGGTAGCATGTTGAAATGCCCTGAAATCATTTGCAGTAGCTGATGGTGACGTCCTTAAGGCGGCGAGTGGCATCGTGTTGACCACATTTTTAGCACCATTGCCGGTAAAAAAAAAAAACCTGTCACCTTATGACACGATGAAAGCATATTTTCACTTATATTACTGAATGTACAGAGAAAATAAAGTCAACATCTTGAATTTTTTTGAACTTGTCAAACAAAAAAAAAGTGCCATCAATTTGGAACATTTTCTCCTCCAACATAATGAGATGTCGCTGAAAGTGTAAAAGAGCGTTAGCGCTGAATTCTATCCTGGCAATTATTTCTGCACAGTTATTTGCAGACACTTTTGTGTCAACGTTGTGTGTGTGTGTGTGTGCGTGTGCGTGTTTGTACTGGGTGATATGTTGGTGTATAACACTGTCAGCAACTGTCACGCCTGCTGCTATCGTATTCACTGGCGTTCCCTCTGAACGCCGCAGACGCTGATCTACCTGCCTCTGATTAAGCTGGACCCTTTTTACAGATCGGTAGCTGAACCCCAGCTGGACAGTTTGACAGTCGTGGTGTCGCCGCATGTCTCAGTGGTTCAAAAAAAAAAAAAAAAATCTCCCACGAGTCACCAGCAGCCCAATAAAGGTGTTTGTTGCTCTGTTCATGCTAGGTGTACTGGGTGGGACCCGTTCTGGGGGGCATCCTTGCAGCCGGACTGTATGAGTACCTGTACTGCCCCGACCCCGTGATGAAGAAGAGGCTGAAGCAGGTCTTCCAGAAGGCCCCGTCAGGGAAATACAGGGAGGTGGAGGCGGACGACATTTCCAAGGCGATCCACAGCACGGAGGTGGAGAAAAAGGAGTCGACGGGAGAAGTGCTGTCTTCGGTATGACTATCGCGTGCACTGGAAATGGAGACGAACCTGTAGAGCGGAATGACCATCAAACAACGGAGTGTCCATCTCCAGCTTGTCCCTCATCCAGAGCAGAACAGGATTTCTGCCCACGAGTTCTCATAGAAAGGCAGAATTACTCTCATCGTCATGAAGCTAACATGATGCCACAGCTCAATCCTGCTCTTACGCTCCTTCGTTAACATTGTTGTAGCCATGTTGGCGCGAGGGCGACTGCACATTGTGTTAGTGTGTAATGTGTGTAGGGGTCAGGAAACTACGTGGGGGCATGGCGCTGACTTGGAGAAAGGAAGAGGAAGAAGCAGGCTTGTTATCTTTGGATTAGTGTCACATGTGGTACGTTTGCTGTGTGTGTAACGACAGGAGAGCATTTCCGTGTAATCATTAAGCACATTAGGCTCCCAAGCAATGTAAGTTCAGCTCCGACGAGCTTTAGTCAGGGAAACAGCCGGTTCATGGACAACATTGTGTCCCTGCTTTTTGTTGTTAGTGGATTTATTAACACCAAACAATTACATTTTTTATCTAGTAAAACATGTGATACTGTGTTTTTTTTATACACCTGTCATACATTTTGTATTTGCTGTAAGGTCTTCTATTGGTTACATGTTTAGCTCTGTCTTTGGACTAACTTGTTATAACAATAAAGGTTTTATTTTAGTCCTTATCGGTGACTTCCTCTTGATGTTTGACACGTGAAATGAGAAAAGGTGGCGAATAGCGGCCGTACCCACGCGGGGGGGCTTCTCTCGTCTCACGTGTTTGGGACCCGGGCGCTGGAGACGTGCAGAGGTCCCGACCAGTGATGGATCGACTCATCTGCCCTCAGACGATGTCTCCCCGTGGCCAGATAAATGTCCGCCGTGTGTGTTCCTGGTGACTTAAGCCTCTGCGAATAGCTTTGTATCATCTCATTCCATCAGCACAGGAAATGATACCACTTTGTGGTTCGCAATAGAGGTGATCTGTTACGTCTGCGCTTTATTTCCTCTTCTAAAAGAACAGGTGCAATTCAATCTCTTTTTTTTCCTCTGCTGTAATGTGGAGGAAATGATCAGCCCCACGGATCAGAGCAAGTTGTGTACGTGGGGCTGGAATGGCCCCATGAATCACATTCTAAGTCAACCCCCCCTTTCACCTCTCAACCCCTGCAAATGCAGTGCACGTGTGTCGACAGCACCACCCTGTGGCCACGACGGGAGTCGTCTGCTGTGCAGTGGTGCCCCCCCCACCCCCCCCCTGTGGGGGGCGCCCGCGAGCCTCGGACGAGCACGTCGCACCGCAAACGTGGAGTCGCTTTCTTCATTCGATTTCTGAGCCACGTTTCTTGGAAATTGGTCCAGTTCATTAATTGAGAACTAGGAAGGAGGATTAAGTGGTGCACAGTCCTAAATAACAGGAAGGCAGTAATTGAACAGGAGCCTCAGCTCAAACTAAAATACTCTTCATGTGTTATCTTGCTATTCTTCTATTTATACTATTTTGTATTTTCAGCCACGCTGCATCTCGTTACTTCTCTGTCTAAAAAGTTGTCACGCTTTTACTCCTGAGAACTGGCAGTGCGAGATGTAAATGAATGCTGCTCTTGAAGGCCCGCTGGAGTCTGATGCTGCTTCTCACTGCCCTCCTCCACCTGCAGGTAGGCGGCCTGCATCGCCGAAGGCTCCGGGGCCTCCAGGCCAGCGCCCTTTCTGCCCTTTTCACATCCCCTTAATCATCTTTACAGTCACGTTTCATGCGTTGACTCTGTCCTCTCGAGACACTCAATGAGGAGAGCGCTCGCTCTGCATTCATTGGCCTTTGCTCGTGTGAAGATGAAATAGCAAGAGGCGGGCGAGGGGGAGCGCTCGCCCCTGTCGGATGTGTGATTTTGCTTTTGTTATGAATCGCACACTCTGTGACAGGGAGTAAGAGTACTCACACGTGCGTGAGAGAGCAGGATGTTGTTGGCGTGATGCATTCACCATTTCATTCTGCAAAAGCGCCGGCCCCCCAAAACGTGTTGACCAAAGTTCCCAAAGTTCCCACTGCAGACGCCTGAATTGGAAAAAGGCAAATTAAGAAGTGACGGCGCGTGATGGAGCAGCCCTTTCCCCCGCCGTCCGTCTGCTAACGTCGTGGCTTATCAGCGAGATGCTGAGCGGTGAATGGCCTTCACAGCGGCCGCCTCCCTCATTCATTCATTTACATTCACAGCCGCCGCCATTACCAACAATGGCTACATGACGGGAATATTGTCACAACCGGGGCTTCATTTGCACATCATACGGATGCAGGAAAAAGTATATCTCAAAGTGCATCTCCTGCTTATCTGAGCGAGCGCAGCCAAATTCCTTGCCAGTTGGAAATTCAGATTTTCAATTCCCAGCACACAGCAGAAGGGGCTAAAAGATAAAACACACACCTTAAAGATCATTAGCAATTAATATTTGGGGATTCATGAAGAAAAACAGCGTTAAACACTTGTTTAATAATTCATACTATAAACAAGAAAGTCTCCCACTTCCTTAATAATTTAGACGTAAGCTAATGTTGATTTATTCAGGAAGGTCTCTGCCACCAGCACCGCCTGGAGTGCTCAAATTTGAATTAAAGTAGGACAGTAGCAGGCGAGTCTGTAATAACATTTGTATAATTTTATTATTGCTCTGGGCTCAGTTCATTTCCTCCTCCAGTAGCTGCGTGAAATTGTTTGATTCTGGAAAGTGCCTTGAGTCTGCGGCTGTGGGGTTGGAGGCTGGTACAGGAACAGGAAGGCGTGCGACACTCTCTCTCCCGCTCTGTCTGATGCTGTCAGACACGTAAACACACACACACACACACACATGCAGCGACAGGGAGAGAGCGAGAGATAAATAACTTTGTTATTCTAGGTTTCGTAATACTGTTACATTTGGCTCACTTAATAACTCAAGCTGTCTTGAGAATATGATTGATATTCTCACTCACCTTGTCACTTATGATGAATCATTCACTGCATTTATGTCAGATAGCGAAGAAGCGGAATCACTCATTCATTAGATTATCAAATCACATAAATATGAGAGTTTGTGTTTATGGCTTTTTACCAGCAGGGAGATTGCCATTTATTGTTAATATTAGTCAAGGAAAGTCACTTCTGCTCTTCCTGTGCATAGAGTTTGTCACTAAGCCGAGTGGGTGAAATTCCACCTTCCTCTTTCATTTTCCTACCGAGAAATATTGTGTTCGGCCCACGAAGAAGCATTCAACTTCATCATCGTTTTCCAGGTCCGCAAGAGCTCATCTTGATTCCTAGTTTGTGGCGTTCCTGAGCCGAGCTTTTATTTTGTTTACCATGATAGGACTATCGTTTTCCCCAAATGCTAATTTGCAAAAACTCTGATTACTCCAACACAAACAATCACGCTTCGGAGGCGAACGTAACGCACACCTGAGACTCTGGTGGCTTCGACGCGGGAAGGGCGGGCGGAGCCGTTCTGATTGGTTTCCTCGGGGCTCCGCTTCCCCACCCGCACGCATTCCCTCACTCCTCTCGCCCCCACCCACCTTCAATTCCTTTATGCAGAGAAGCCCAAACTGCAGTTTGATGAAACACATTTGTTTGACTTAACTCTTGCCTCGCCATCACGGCCTGAATCTGGAAAGGCCTGTCGGTGTAATGTGGCCCAACAGCAATTGGGTTAATGAGAGGATATATGTACAAGTGCGGGACTTGACCGGAGGAGCTGTTTTCCATTTGGGTTTGGTCTGCTCGTGTTATTAGGGAAACCTTTATTATTGTTGCCCTCTAGTGAGAACCATATAATAGGATTACATTTTATTAGAGCCTTCCAGCATTTCCCAAGCAGCCCCCTCCTCTTGTCTCTCTTCCCCTCTTAGGTAGTGTCACTGACTTCTCTGCCCACCGTGGGAGGGGTGGCTGGACCAACGATGGGGGATCCTGATCCGTTACCGTAACTTGACTTGAAAAATGCTAAATATGAAATAAAAGTGAAGAATTGAAGGAGCAGAATAGACTGTGACTCTGTGTGTGTGTGTGTGTGTGTGTGTGTGTGTGTGTGTCACGCTAGCTTTGTACTGTGTAATAACTCCTTTGCAACAGTGAGTCAGAGACACGTACGTGCACAGCTCCTCAGAGTTCCTCGGGTACAAAGACACATCCAGAGTGTGTCACCCGAACCCAGCAAAGGCGCTCCGTCACGTCGTTGCCGCTGCGCCGCGTGTCGGGCCTGCCGAGGCCGCGTACTCGGCGCCGTCTCGGGCCACATTGTGGCAACGCAGGTGCTCTCCGGAGCTAAACGCCAGTGTGCCAAAGACAATATTTGATGAGGCGTTGTGGCAGTGCAGCGCTGCAGGGCAGGCGCCAGGCTCTGCCGCCCTACTCCCTTTCACAACCGGAGGCCATAAGACGGGTGTGGCGAGCCGAGCGGCAGGTATGAACATGGTCTGAGGCCATGCCAACATCCCTCCAAGTCTCCTCCAAACTTGCCCTCTGGATTTCTTAACGGTTGTAATATTACATGGATACGACTTATAGAGCACATCACTGTTTTAAATGTAATCATTCTAAATGTGGAATAGTTTAATTACAGCAAGTAGCGATAAATGAGGGAAGAGTTATGTGTTTCTGATTGGTGAGACTCTTTGTTCCCCTTTGTTATCAGGAACTAAGCAACTATCAATACGTAAAGGTTGCTTGATACCCGGTTGCATCAGCTGACAGGAAGCAAACAGGGAGCCAGGCTGTTGCCTAGCAACGCATTCCATTGAAAATCAGCTCAAACTTTGTCTGACGGAGGGTGATTCTGCTCAGACAGGCAGCATGACAAAAAAATCACACTAAAAAGTGCCTTAATATGTATAGTAATAAAATACAGGCACAAACCTGCAAATTATCTTAATATGACATATGATATGAATATGATAAAGGGATAAAGCTGAAAGACTGTGTGAGACAGTCGTTGACCTGGGAGAAGGTGTCTTATCGTATGTGGACTTTTCCTTTATGAGAGGAAAAATGTGTCCCGCTAAATTGTCGAGGCGGTTGTGGCAGAGAAGAAATGGATATCCCTATGATGTCATCCGGGCAAGGCCCTTTCTGTTTGGAGCAAACTCACATCTGGAAGCAATCTGGATAATTTGTCCGGCAGAATAGAGGCAGCCTGCTAACACTTGCCTGCTGTTCCTGCTGCAGCAGCGAGGTCTCGATCCCAGACAAAGACCTCGAACAGCAGCATTAGACCGAAGGCTTTGTTTGCTTGTTTTTATGTTTTATATCAAACACCACGTGGATCTAAGGATCTCCACCGGTTAGCAACGTTTGATGCATATATTTGAATACTGAAGTGAGAGGATGCCATTATGAATGGGCTCGGTTTGTGTGCAAAACGGATAACGCATGGGACGTTAATGCCCTGGGGCAATTCTTTCCCCGTTTACTAGTTTGTCAGACTAATGGCATAAAAATGTGTGTGTGTGTGTGTGCGTGTGTGGGACGATAGTTGGGGCTTGGTATATCATGCGCCTGCCAGTAACCCCTGGGGCAAATAACTTCATTGAAAAGCTTTAATCCTGTGTTTGTCTTCCGTGGGACTTGCTGGTCAAAAAGTGTAATGGGCCTTGGATTGGACAGCATAGGGACGCCCCCCCCCCCCCCCCCCCCCACCAAATGGTTTTGGTGAATAT